GGCCTGACATTGATCCCTCCGTGTGACTGTCGCTTTTCTGGACACTTCTCTCACCCCTGTCCTCTACTCAGGAAGACTTTGTACTCCTGTCTGTACTTCATCTGAGCATAAACAGAGTTTTGGCTCCAGGAAAAGGGATTTCAACCCTAGCAAGCAAGTGAGAAGTGAACAGGGGTGAGGGTGACTTGCTGAAAGAGTTCTACCCTCTGCCACTTATTTTATAGATACTATTATATTTTTTAGACACTTTCATTGAGGTGTAATTGATACACAAAAACTGCACATATTTAACGTATACGATTTGATGAGTTTGTACATATGCAAGCACCTGCGAAACAATCCTCAATCAAGGTAATAGACATCTCCATCACCTCCAAACGCTTCCTTGTGTCTCTTTGTTGTTGCTGTTTTTTTGTTTTTGTTGTTGTTGCTATAAGAACTTAACATGAGATCTACCATCTTAACAAACGTCTGGGTGCACAATACAGTATTAACTACAGGCACTCTGTTGTATGTAGATTTTATTCTATTAATCCTCACAATAACTACAGAAGGTAGGTTTTCATTCCCTTTTTACAGATGAGAATCCCAAGGCTTAAAGAGGTTAAATTTTTTTGCCCAAAGCCATACAGCGAGTTGATAGAAGAGTTGGGATCCACATTTCAGTTTGTCTGAGTTTTTAAACCCAGGCTGTTCTTATTACGTTATAATGTCTCCCCTATTCTTTCTGCCCTGGTGCCCCTCTGGCTGAGCTGAGCTGTGAGGGAAAGGATCTCTACTCTTGGCACCCTCCAAATGCTCAGGAGACAAGACTCAGAGGAAGAATTCTGAACAATAGGGAGACACTATAGGCTCAGCTCACACACTCCAGAAGGAGGGAGTGCGAACAGCACCTGAACTAGATTATCTGCATGGGGTCAGTAACCCAGAGGGTGCCAGGATGGGTCTTGCAATGACTACCTTGCTGAGCTTCCAGGAGCCCTGGGAGATATAGAAGCCTCTGCGTGTCAAGTGATAAATGGACCACTTGCCCAAACCCCACCCTGTTGGAGTGCCCAGCAAGAGCTCATACAGGTTTATGGGAGCGAGAGATGGGAAGAAGACAGGGTTTCAGCTACAGGTGCTAAAAAGTCCTGAAATCCTTACTCACACACCCACCCTGGAAACTTCCGTGTCCCCTGCCTCTCTCCCCATTCCCCATCACCTCTAAGTGATCCCATTGGTCACATGTTATTCTGCCTACACCTGTTCTCCTGTTTTGACCTGATTTTCCCTAGAGACCAATGGAGAGTGCCCAGCGTAGAGGAGTGGAAAGGGAGCTGGGTTTGAATCCAGATTCTCACTAGCCAGATGAATGCAAACAAAGGATTTTACTTTTAGGAGCCTCTATTTAGCAAAATAGAAAATGATACCTCAAGGGACTAGTGGGGATATCAAATAAGACAGTGGATGCAAAGGCATCTAGCATAATGCCTGGCACACAGCAAATGCCCAGTGAGTACTTGGCAGATGAATCAATTGAGGCCCGACAAATGTTAATCACTCCAGACTTCATGGTTGGCGCTGCTCTTACTACTTAGGAAAATAAGCCAGGATCCTCTTAGGTAAGTCTTAGGTATGTCATTGAACCACAGGGAAAGCTCCCAGCTAAAGGTCCCCTGCTGCTGCAGGCACTGTCATCAGAGGCAGGTGACTCAGCCTCTGCTGTGGGCTTCTATTTTTGGGTGTGTGTGTGTTGGGGTGGGGAGGGTTGCAGATGGAGAAGGAGAGAGAGAAACTTAAGCAGGCTCCATGCCCAGCGCAGAACCCGATGTGGGGCTCCGTCTCACAATCCTGAGATCATGACCTGAGCCAAAATCAAGAGTCAGATGCTCAACCGACTGAGCCACTCAGGCACCCCTCCGCTATGGGCTTCTGCACAAAGAATCTGGGTGACCTGTGGCTTGCCTACCATAGCTTTTGAGGGTAAATAGACCCTTAGTCTTGTCCCTGAGCTTCTGGACTAGTGGAGAGAAAAGTGGCACTGTTTACGGAGGTACATGTGAGAGCCAGGTAGAAGCCCAACATGTCTCTCCCCTCACCACTCTTCCTTTTGGCAGAGTTATCTCACTTTCCTCAGAACACTGGGTTGGTAGCCCAGTCTACCCACTTGGGGCTCTATGCAGACGTGAAGGTGGGCAGGGAAGAAAAGAGGCTGGGGCGCCCCCTCCTGGGGCTGGGTGGGCTAGTAGCTTCTGGCTGGTTCACTGCCAGATTGCTGCTGTCTTCCATCTCCTTGCTGAAAACCTTCCTCTCTAACTGGAGACCACAGGTAGAACCTGGTCCAAGAAAGCTAGGGAGTTGCTGAGCAGGCCAAGGTCCCAGGGAGGTCCACTGGCAACCCCTGGTCTCTTGGGTAGCCCTTTCCTCTCTGTTCCGCCAATGGAAAGAAGCAGGTGGTCCTATTGCCAACACACCCTACAGTCTGCCTTATAGCTATGCATTTTTCCTTCTTAAGGAATTCTAAATGTTAGCAGGGTCCATATGCTGTAATTCAGAGACATTTAATGTCATTTGTTTAGCATTAAATGATACTTTTTATACTGTAAATTCCATTCTTTGACATCAGGAATGTAACCACCTGCCTCATGCCATTCCTCTCCAGAGTTAATAGACCAGTAGGTGACACCACAGAGCATCCAGCATCCCCCTAGAGAAGGAACCCTTCCATTTCCCCCATGACAGATGGTCATTCTGAATATTTGCATACATCTGGTGATGGGGAGCTCACTCTCTCCCCAGGAAGCCCATCCAATGGCTGGCAACTCTATTCACGAGAAAGTTTTCCTCATTTTTTGAGCTGAAATCCATCTTATTGAAACTACACCATTGGATTTGGTTCTTACCTTTGGCAACACAGAACAGGTTTTCTTCTTTTGGACAAAAAGAATGTCCAAGATGTTCTTCCCACTTTTTTTAGAGATCGTGATCTCACTTTCCTACCCCCACTCCCTCTTATTTTTCATCACAGGGATAAACAGCTCATCTCCTCATCCATTTCCAATGGGAAATGATTTGCAGACACTTCACCATGTTGGTCACATCCCAAATAACACAGCTCACTTTTCCTGAGCACCCTTGCTGACATTTCCCAGACCTACATAACAACTGTAATGAGGCAGGTATCACTATCACCACCTTACAGGGGAGGGAACTAAGATTCAGACAGGTTAAATAACTTGCCCAAGATCACACAGATATTAAAAGACAGAACCAGGGTCTGAATGCAGAGTTAGAAGCCAGAGGTGCCTGGCTCCAAGTTCTTGGTTTCAAACCGCTCGCATACCTGGGGCTTGTGAGGCTGTGATCCAATCAATCAGTGCAGTTTTTACAAAGTGGGGCCCAACATTATGGAAATGGTCTGATCAGGGAAAATAGACCTGGACTGTCACCGTGCCTGATTTATGCAGTCCACCTCTGTTCATGCTGTCTCAAGAGATGCTATCATTTCTGAAAGACCTGCCATGCTCTTGGCTCACGTTGCACTCAGCTCAGCTCCCCAGGACTCTGACACAGGAACTGTGGGAAAGTCAAGTCTTGACTGTTCTTCCTTATCCCTGATGACAGAGTCCCTGATAGTGAAGTGCGAGTCAAACCAAATTTGGGTTGGCTGGTTGGTTCCTGTGGAAGTGGAAGACCTAAAGGGAAGGGTGCCAAGAACGTTCAGAGGAACAGAAGAGATGCATAAACCACTTTATTTGTGTTCCTCTGGGCAAAAAGAACCCAGAGGAGAAGCTATATATACAACACAACATTTGTAGCCAACTAACATATGGTTCTTTGTTATCATTTCTGAAAACCAATAAGCAAAGGGAGAATAAGGTTTGCTCTCAGTTTTTACAACAAACTTCAAAAATCCCCCATCCCAACGCAAAAGAATGCTTAACTGGAGCTTTCTGCTAAAGGCCCCTATCTCCCCTGAGCCTTCCTTCCTCTCCCGATCTCCGAATCCTCATTTCCGGGAGGTCATTTTAATTAGCAGGCTGTCATGGTGACTCAGCCTGCCTGCTTCACGGAAAGGAAGGGAGCAGACTCCTCTGGACCCATTCATCATACAAAGGCACTTTACTCTTTAGAAAAATGCACAATATTTAGCCCCACTGCGGCTGTTTTATTTTATCAGCCCCCTGCCTGGGGCGGGGGGAGGCATTCTCCTGTCTTCTGCATCTCCTTCACCTGGCAGTCATCCTTCCCCTATTGCAGAGTATCCATACCCACCTCTTCAGGGGCCAGGTTTGGTCCCTGGCACCAGGATCTGGAGATCTGAACCATGACGGACCTCTTGGAATGAGTGACCAATACAGTTTCAATTCAACTACCCAGGTCATTGGGGAATGCATGCAGCTCAGAGACACCATGACAATATGCCTCGGACCACTGTGATTTCAAAAATTCTGTCCTATTGTTCCCAACAGCATATTTGTCTTTGGGTTGTAGGTGTCATTGATGGTGTTTTGGATCAGCAAGTATGGACGGGGCCTTTCTAAAACCGTGAACAACCATCACCTAGTCTAGAAGGTAACCACTTCTGGTAGGTATACAACTTTAAAAGGTAATGGGGCTTCACCTAGTCTAGAAGGTAACCACCTGTGGTAGGTATAAAACTTTAAAAGGTAACGGGGCTTCAGAAGCACTGACCTGAGATGTGTCAAACCTCTCAAAAGGGACGTGTAGCTTTTCCTCTTGCTGTGAGGATCTCTGTGCTGGGGAAAATAGCATCTGTACTCACTTGGTTTGAGCCTCCTATTTTGTTCCTGAGCCTTAAGCTGAAGTCCCACAATTGATTTTCCATTGGTAAAAAGGAAAATTGACAGTGAGGTTTCTCATTTTTCCTTCCCTTTCGCTAGCTTATTCATTATTCCACACCCTTTAGCTTGGAAACTAGAGAAGGGTGATTAATTTCATGCCCCAGCAGAAAATGCATGCTCCTGCCTCCACAAGACCTCCTGGACTCCATGTCCTTAAAAAGAGTTTGAAGGGTCTTTGTGGTTCATGGAGCTCTTCTTGTCCCCTTTGCCGTTGGGGTGGTTCCTGGCTGGGCCCCGCAGGAGTGGGTGCTTGTAGGGAGGGGGTTTTTCTTTCCTGTAAAGGGGAGATAACAGAAAGAGAGAAGAAAGACAGCACATATACATACCGGATTGAAATCATTTCTGTGCATGTCTCTCTCCCCCACTGGACTACGACAGGCCAGGAGCAGTGGTCTTGTCTTCCTTTTCTCTGTGTCCCAGGAACCCAACCCAGGGCCTGGTTCAAAGCAGGCATCATGGCTCAATGAATGCCTGCTAGATGGATGGATGGATACTCTGTATCATTCTGGTTCTGGAGAAGACTACCGCTCCAAATGTTCCACGTGTCCATCTTGATTCTAATCCCCATCCTCTCCAATTCACAATGGGATGGGGGTGGACACATAGAAGACCTATATCCTGGGGGAGCCTGGGACCCCATCCTCTTCATAACCATCCTGGGCTCCAGAGTCGCCCTTATATTCCTCAGAGTAGCCTAAGTATGGCATTTCATAGTGGGTCTGTCTCCGCCACGAGCTTGGGTGATCTTGGAAGGCAGAGGTATGTCTGGCTCATCTCTGAGTCACAGCACCCAGCACCCAGTGCCATGCCCTTAACACTACTCTTCAGTAATTGCCTTCTGTCTGTTTGGCTCACACACTAGACTATGAGCTCCTTGTGGACAGGGACCAAGTTTTATCCATTTTTGCATTTTCCCTCATACAGGGCCTTGTTTGTTATGTTGTTGACTGATAAGTTGATGTGCCATTCATTCATGTGATTGACTAAGATTCATTTGCGGTGGAAAGAGTAGGCTTTAGAGCCAGAAAGAACTCACCTGAATTCCCAGGTTGGCTGTGTATGAGGGGTGTGATCTTGGGAAAGTTATTTAACTTTTCTGGGCTTTATTTGTAAAATGGGGATAAAATATTCCAATCTTACAGGGGTGTTGTGAGGTTAAATGAAATAACATGAGTAAATGCACTTAATGTCTTCCCTTTCCTGCTCTAACGTACAAAGGCATAGTGCTAGAGGGTTCCATGGTCTCTGGACATGACAAAGATGAGTCAGACATTGATGCTGTCCTCAGGCTGCTTATAGTTCAGTAGAGGAGACAGTTGCACAAAATGACTACACAAAATAATGAAGAATTACAAAGCACTATAGAAAGTGGCAAACACCATAAATATGGAATCTCTCTTGTACTTTTTGAATTAGGACTGAAGAAGCAACTTCTTGTAGCCCATCGTGCTCTGACCTTGGAGTACCCATTTTCCTTCATTGTTGATGAGTCATGAATAAGGTAAAAATGTAACAGGTGGCGGCACACAAACGGGACCACTTGCCCTAACCTATCTCCCCCACCAATAGGCCTCACTGCCCGAAATGTCACCGTCGCCGAGGGACCTGGCTAACATGGCAAGGCTGTCTAGCATGGGTGACATACATCTAGACCTCGGTATCCACAGACAGCCTAGAGCACACAAGAGCCTATGTCCTTCCTGCCTCATCAGCTCTGGTAAGTGGGGGTTGGGGGTGAGCTTTGCAAATTACAGGATGCTATTCATATGTCGGGGGGTGGGTTCTTAACACCCAAAGGGAGCGTGGGAAATCAGACGGCTATGTTTTCATGGGAGTAAAGGAAGGCGTACTTCCCCTAGAGGGGCAAGTTCAGGTACAAGCACGGGTGGGGACAGTCCTAGGTAGATGGGGCCATGGCAGAAGGTGTGCAGTGGCCAGGGGCACGTGTGAATGTGTAGACTGATTGGCAAAGAGCCTCTGCAACCAAGATGGGGGCAAAGAGAGAGAAGACCCTGGAAGGCAAATATCCCGTACATCTGGGGCCTGTGTTCCTCTTTCCATGCCTTCCCCCACCTCTCCAGGCTCACTTGGGAAGCAGACTTCCCAGAAAATAAGCTTCTCCCTTCTCAAGATCTCCACAGTACTTTGTACCTTGCCCTCAGTAAACCATTTTCTAGGTAGCTCTTTGTCTGTTTTTCTCACGAGAATGTGAGCGTAACACATCTGATTTTTCTCTGTAATTCCCGAGCAAAGCTCAGGCCTGGCGTAGGTGCTTGAGGAGCGACTGATGAACGGAAATGAACGTTTGGTCTTGTCCTTACTGTCTCCATTGCTCTAGACCACCCTAGTTTTGTCATTGCCTCGGACTGTCTTTTCAGGCCCTGCTTCCTGCCTTCCACCCTACCCCCAACATGGAATACCTTCTCTCCTTTTTCTGTTTCATCCATCTAAGTTCTACATGTCCTTTAAAACCAAGTTCAAATGCCACTTCCTCCCGGAAGCCTTCTTGGGATACTCCTGCTGGCTGCCAAATGCTGGTCAGGTGGTGTGGGAGGGGAATTTCTGGTTGGGTCTCACTTTTCTTTTCTAAAACAGGAAAGGGTTGAAGTCAAGAATTCTTAGGGGCTTCTTCCTTTCTACCATTCCATAATTCATACATTCAGGACTTTTTTAGGATATACTCCCTGCTAGGCTGTTCATTGTGCACTAAAGATCCAGGAGTGACCCAAGATAGCTCCTTAAGGAGGAACCCTGTCTAATGGAGAAGCCAGATGTGCAAAGATGCCATGACAACACTCTATGGGACATACAATGCTACAGGTGTGTGCAAAATGCAGTTAGGAATCCAGCAGAGAGGAAGTAGCTCTATCTCAGGTGGAGAACAGAAATAGTGAAGCAGAGAGGTGTGATGTTTAGACCCAGCTTTGAAAAGTATGTAGGAATTCACCACCTAGAGACAAAATAGGAGAACATTCCAGGGAGAGAAAAAAAGGATGAACAAAGACATAGAGGCATGAAAATAGTTGACTTGTTTAGTCTGAAGCGTAAGGTGTAAAGTGGTAGAAAGCAGATGGGGTGGAGAGGGGGCTCACAGGGGAAGGGGTGTGCTGGGACATGAAGTTCAAGATGTAGGTCAGAGCTTTGAATACCAGGAAAAGGAACTGGAACATTACCCTGAAGGTAATGGGGAGCCACGGAAGGTTTTTGAGGGAGAGTATAATCTGATATGTAGCTGAGCACGTTCATGCGTTGTTTGGTATTGTTTGTCATCTTTGCATGTGTACATGCCTTTCTCCTCTGTGTCCTGGGCTCCTGATGGGCAGGGGCTCTCTATGTCCCCCAGCACCCAGTGCATGGCCTGGCACATGGTGGGCTCCAGTGTGTTGAGTAGATGATCATTCCCATCCTCCAACACACACACCACAACCCTACCATGGAGCCCGCCCTCCCAGCCTGTCGCTGAGCCTGAGCCCACTTCACACTCAGAGACCAGCCCACCTTCCATGCTCATGCTCTATCTTCCCATAGAGGCTCACCTTGCCTGTTCATTCTTCCTAATTTTCATCTACCTTGATGGAATCTTTTGAACTTTAGCCCTGTGGCTATGTCACTGTGGTCCAGGTAAGTGTGGGGTCTCGGCTTTGGTCATCAACTCCACATCCCTGAACCTATGCTCTTGGGCCCACATTGCCGGTCCTCCTGGCCCTCCCCAGGGACCCTCTCTGAAGGGCAGCCTGGCCCCCAACAGGCTCCCACCAGCACCTGAGTGGAAACGGACAGATTATAATTATCCACAAAGATGAGAGAAAACAAAGATTAATTTTGAGCCAAAACATGTAATTTTCCTTTAAAACCAGAACTACTCTTTCACTTATATTATTTGATGCTTGGGTGGAAAATAATACAAACAAAGGGGACATATTCAAGTCCTAAATCAGAGCCTTGCGTCCTCCTGGGAATTCATTTTTCAAGAGTTGCTGACAACTGAGAGCCAAAGTGATACTCATAGTTGGCTGAGACAGAGGTATGGGCATGGAGAGGGAGTTTGTTTGGTTTTTCTTAATTTAAGGGTGGGTGCATTTACCTCAAGTCCTCAAGGCCGTGCACTTTGAGGAAGGAGCTCTCCAGCTCTTTTCTAAAGAGGCTCCAAAGTTTTGAGCAATGAAGCCCCATGAACAGTTGCACTGGGGGCCCTGAGAGCTCCCTGCAGCCTCCCACCTGGTTTCAGGTTCCTGCCTCCTGTCCATCTGGAGGAACTCTGCTAACTCATGTGGAGAAAAGCAGGCTGGGGATTGTGGGGCTTGGGCTCTTGTCCTGGCCGTGGCCAGTGCTGTGTGCTCCCTGGGCCTCGACTTCCTCATCTGTGTCGGGAAGAGGGGCCTGCGCCATTGCTGGTTTCCCTGAGTGTTGGCACCATTTCACTGATAGTGCAACAAGCCAGGAAAAAGTCTAAAGGATCAAGATCATTTTATTCAGGTTGACAGAGGACCTGAGAGACAATCCCCAAATTAACTTGTAAATGAGATTCTAAGAATTCTTTTGAGCGTTATAGAGCTTTAAATTTTTAAGAACTTTAACCAATCAAGAATGACTTCTAAGAATGAACCGAGCACTTTCCTTTAGAGGTGAGCTCCTCAAAGGCAGGGTAATGCCCCACTCACTAAGCACGAGCACCTCCCTCGCCCCAGGGGAATGGCTTAAAGTGCTGGTTTTCCTAAGTGGAGGGAGGAAGGAAGGAAGGAAGGAAGAAGGGAGGCAGGGAGGGAGGAAGAAAGGAAGGAAGACACGTATGCATGCTCAGTACAGTCTAGGCACTTGGGGAGCACAGAGAAGAAACAAACATGATCCTCCTTGAAGGTGTTTTTAATCCACCAGGAATGGGGGGTGGGCACAAAGACCCCACATGATTGGTGAACAATCTGAGACAGAGTATGAGTCAGAATACATTGTTTTGTAGACTCTGTGGAGATGTGGCCCTCACAGCATGGTGGAACATGGCCCTGAGAGATCATCCAGCGCAACCGGAGAAGTCCAGGGACTTGCCCCAGGCCACAATGAGCTGGTTGGAAATCTGGGATTGCAACCCAGAAACCAAAGGAGATGGAAATGTTATTGAGCACCTACCGACTGCCAGGCACTATACCAAACTTGTATCCAATCTTTAAAATCTCTAGAGATTTTAGTTATTACACCCACTTTATAGGCAGGTAGAGAAAGGTTTCAAGAAGCCACAAAACTTGCCCAAGATGCCACAGTTAACATGAGCCTGAGACAGAATTTGAACCCACACTGAGAGTGAGAAGGGCTTCCTGCTTAAGGTGGAGCTTAGCTGGACTTCAGTCTAGCTTTGGAATAAAACAATCTTAGGATCAAATCCTACCTCTGCCAAAATCTCTTTGACAGGCAATTCTCTTCACATTCCTGAGCTTCCTTTACCTCATTTGTAATATGGGGAGTATAATATCTATGAGGAATAAATAAGATCATGTACAAAAAGTACTTTGCTCAATAAATAACAGTGATTAATAATGTTTTTGTTAATTACAGGGTATGGAGGAAGGTGCGTTAGTGCAAAGGCCCTGAGGTAGCAAAGCACATGGGCAAGGTCATGGGCAAGGTCAGTGGGAAGAATGGTCTGGCAGAAAAAGGAAGTTGGACATCATTACGTCCTTTACGGAGGCTGGATCACTAGAGAGTAGGAAATGAGGCCAAGATGTAGGGCAGGGCCAGCGCATTCCAGATGCCGTTGGATATCACTGTCCAAATGCTCACCGGGCTTACTTCCAGGAGGCATGGGAATGCCCAGCACTTTGGTCTGTGGTCTTGCCCTCTGAAAGGATACTCATCCCCTGACCTTCTCTCTTCAGTGGCCCAAAAAGCTGACTCCAGCAGAAGACCTGATGTGAAATTTCTTAGGGCTGTGTCCTCCCCAGCCGTGAACCTTCACGTCTTGAGGGAAGGGGACTCTCACGCCTTAAAGGGATACGTGTAGGCCTAAAAATGTGCAGGGTGCTTTAACACGCATCTCATAATAACTTTCTAGGTGAGTGCCACTGTCCCCACTTGACGGATGAGACAATGAGGGGATCAGAGACCTTGTGAGCCTAGATGAAGTAGGAATCCTAGAGGATGAGCTACCAGATGAAGGAGTGTATGGAGACACCCAGACTAACCTGGACGGCACTCAGTCCCTCAGCACCTCCCATCTCCGTGGACTCCTATGGGAGACCCAGAAATGTGGCCACCCCCGCACTGTCTGATGCTGTGATGATCCTTTATAGTCAGAAAACATGGTGTTGAGCTCTTCTGCCCCATATGCTGGGGGGCAGGGCAGGGATTATCTTTCCCCCACCACAGACGTGAAACTGAGGGCCAGAGAGAAGCCGAGGGAAGCTGCCCTTGAACACAAAGCCAGTTAAGTAGGACCCCAGCCATACAGTTCCGCCCTGTCACTTACCGCAGCCTCGGCATGGGAATTGCCACTTTCTCGACCAGGGGGTTCAGCCGATAATAATCCAAAAACGTTCTCGCCACGTTCCTTCCCAGCTTCATATCTGCAAGCGTGTGCGTCAAGGAGCAACTGTGGAAGGAGACGGCGACAGAGCGAAGAGAGGACTAGTGGTAATGACAGCAGGAACAGAGGCAGTGACACCACTCACTTTTTGTAGGTCCTGTCCTTTTTGATTTTCACAGAATTTTAGATACTATTATTGTCCTCATTTTACAGAGGAGGAAAAGTTACAGAGAAGCTAAATAATTTTCCCAGGGTCACAGGACTAGGAAGGAGAGGAACCAGGGTATGGGTCTCGGTATTCTGACCTCAGAGCTATGTTCACAGCTTCTAGAATATACTGCGGCCCTTGGGGGATCACTGGGCTTCCACGATCTGGCTTCAGGTAGCTCAGGGTGGAGGCAGATAAGCAAGACCCAAGGGCAAGAGACCCTTTGTTGTGTGTAGAGCAGGGTCCGTTTGACCCTTAAGGGTCAGTCATCTACTTTGGTAACCTCGGATGGGGGAGGGGGCAAAGGTAAAACCCTCTCACCCTAAACAGTGTCCCTCTTCCACCTTGAAATCTACCGATCATGAATCCTTAGGGCAAGGATTCATGACCTGTTAAAGTACCAACTCCTCAGGGAAGGAGAAAGGGCCAGTTCTATATCAACCATTAACACTTTAGTATGAATCGGCAGACCAATCATCTATTCAACAACACAGAGTACCTGCTCTGTGCATTATAGCTGACATCTCTGAGCCTTCACATGAGCTATTTCCTCTGCCTGAAGTACCTCCCCACCTCCCTTGGCTAATTTTTGCTCATCAATTTTCCGGTTAGGTGATAGCCCTTTAGCAAAGCCTTCCATGGTACTCCTCTCCCCAGGGCTGTGATCGGTGCTCCAGCCCCGCACTTCCATGACTCCTAAATTGACTCCATTTAAAGCACTTATCTCTTCTCTCATATCCCTCAGCTCTGAACATCCAAACTGTCACTGTCATGGAACCTCCTCATTCTTGAGTTTGTCCACCTCTCTCCAGTCCCCTGCTGCCCCCCTAGAAAAGGCCAGCATCATCTTTCCCCTGGATTACTGTCATCCTGTCCTAATGGGCCTCCCTGCCACAGGTTTTCTTGCCTCGACTCCATTTCCTACAATGTAGTTGGAGGGGATGCTATAGAATGCAGAGCTAAGCACTGCATCCAACAGAGGAAAACTCCCAAGTGGCTCCCAGTTGCCTTTAAAGTTCAAGTTTTGGAACTTGATTTACAAGGTCCTTCACTGCTGGGCCCCTGCTTATTTTCTTAGCTTTGTGCTTGTGGCCTCCCCCTTTGCACCGCCCTTGGCCTTCACGCTCCAGCAACTGAACTTCTTTTGCCTCCAGGCCTTCACCCACACCCTCTCATCTTTCCAGGCCGTGCTTCCTCCCTCCTGGTGCCTTACAGGGTTGACGTCTTCTCCGTCCCAGGACACCTCAGTTTCATTGTCACATCACAGGAGAGGTCTCAGCCACCGCTCCTTCCAGGGTCACGGAGCTGGACTCGAGTTTGCAGAATGGTCAAAGGAGTTTTCACCACTGTCTTCAAGACGGCCCTCAAACTGCGGTTGGACATGGCCCAGGACAGGAAAATGAGCATTTATGGAGCACCTACTATGTTCCTGGCATGGCACCGGTACTTTGCTTACATAAAAATTTTAAACAATCCAGGAAGGAAGGCATTTTAATCTCCCTTTTGCCCGGGGAGGTTAAGGAACTTATCCCAGGCTGCCTAACAGGTGGTGGTAGAACCAGGACTCCGATTCAGGAATGTCTGACTCCAGGCCAGTGAATGTTTCTCAATGCGAAGGCACCTTTTCTGTCAAGGGCTGAGTCATCCCAGGCCAGGGCCTGGTGGGAGAAGGAAAAACACCAGACAAGTTGTTTATGACAGTGAGATGTGCTGCAGGCTCACTGTGCTCTGGGGCTGCCACCTGCTTTCTTCTTCCGGATGTGACCGACCTTCTCTGTCCTCCTCTTTAAGAAGTTCACAGGCTGGCCTTGGGCATGGCCTCTCTGACCAGCAGGCCCTGGTCTGCTGCTTTCACCCAGCGAGGCTCCAGTCAGCTTAGGGAGACCGCACCGCCCCTGTGCGTGCTGACAGTACGAGGGACAGGCCGCAGGGGTGAGGACAGGTCCCTACGGACTGGCCAAAAAGGCACAGCAGAAGTTTTGGGATCAGATGTATTGAATCCAAATCCTGGCCTGGCCACATTTTGTGTACAGCACGCTGGATGTTCTAAAAATGTCTGCAACAATATCTCCCATGTTATTCTATGACATGACCCTGACCGTCCTTCTATGGAGAGGTGTGGTCCGTATCTCCTCTCATTAAATCTGGGTGGGCTTGTGACTCACTTGTAACTACAACAATAGCAGAAGGTGGTCGGAGTGACACTGTGGGACTTCCGAGGCGATGTCAGCGAAGGAGTTGTCACTTGCCCTTCACTTGCTAGAATACTCCAGCTGGGGTCCTGCACCTCCACGCACGCAGCCTGGCTGCCCTGAGGGCCCCATGCCGGGAGGAAGCGCAGGCGAGCCCGCGGAGGGGCTGCAGGGGGAGGCCCCGACACTATGTGGAGACGTGAGGAAAGAGAGACTCTCGCCAGCCACGCTACTCTTCCCGCTGCTCTTCCCGCTCCAGCCACAGCATCAAAGGCTCCAAGCCAGGACCACTCGGCAGGGCCCTCCCCAAATTCGGACCCACGGAAGGCACGAGAGAAGAGCTACTGTTTTAAAGGCCCCGTCGGGGGGAGGTGTGTGAGGTAGCAGGCGAGCACCAGCACAGTCTCGCGGAGGCCACTCCATCTCGGAGCCTGGTCCCGCACCTGTGAAATGTCAATAATAACGCCTGCCTCACGGGCTCGTGCTGAGGTGGTGTGTGGGTGCTGATTAGATAAGTGCAGGAGTCGGGGACCAGGGGAGCCTGAGCCGGTCCTCCCCGGCCGGCAGCGACAGCCAGACTCGAAGCCACCCTCGAAGAAATCCTTGTCAGCAATACTCCAGCTCTGCAAGGAGGAGTCAGGCTTCTCCAGTAAAATGTACCCCCCCGCCTCCCGACCCCGCTCAGGTGCTGATTGTTTTAGACGAGCTCTGCTTGAAAGATGGTGTTTTAAAGGTGGGAGTTGTCTGGGACACCCTTTTTCCCTCTCCGATCATGTCAGGGATTTCTCAAACCTGGGGGGCCCTCGCCCCAGGCTACAGGGGCCTGTGTGAGTCGAGAAACGACATGGGCAGGGGAGGGGAGAGACTGAACATTTTCAATGGAAGCCAGCTGTCTTTGGACAAGGACTTAGGGTGCAGGCAAGGAGAAGGCAATAACGAGCTGGAACCCTTTCCAATATGTTGCTGAACGGAGAGAGGAGCACCGCGGTGAGAGCTCCCAACGTTGCATTGCCAACAACCATCTCCCGCCTGTAAGCTGGAAATGTCATCTTCCACATATTCTTACGGGGCTCACTGATCTGTTTCTCGCAGAGGGCAGCAACAGACAGCAGGTGGGATCAGGACCCCCGAATCAGAGAAGCAGGGGAGCTTGGCCAGGATGGGGTGAAACCCAGACTGATTTGGCCACTTCTGCTCAGAGCTGTTTGAACAAAAGGGCGGGTGTCAGGAGCCCTAGTACTTCCTGGGATCTTTCAACAGGTAGGGAGGGTTTGGACATGTGCTGTTCACTCTCATGCATTCATTCATTCATTTACTCACTCGTTCGTTCGTTCATTCAATCACTCACTGGGCTCCTCCCATCTGTATACCGGGAGGCACGGTGAGAGGGATTGGGATTGGAGACAGAGAAATCAGACAAGTACAGTTGACAGTCTAGAGGAGGAAACTAGCATGTCCCAACTATGTCACCCGACAGGCTGCACTATTAGCTTCACAAGAGCAACTCCTTATCCCGAGCACCGAACAGTGTAGTTACTCTTGCCAATCCCCACCCCAGCCCTGTGAGGGCAAAGGACAATCCTACACATACTCTGCAGAAGAGGAAACTGTAAGAAGGACAATTTGCATAAATCACCTGGAGTCCCGTGGCTTGAAAGTGATAGAGGTAGCATGTGAACCTGAGTGTCTTTTACCACTGTGCATATAGTTTCTCCTCTTTGGACTGTGATCATACATGCAAACGCTAAACTCTGTGGATGTGCAGGAGGTCCTACTGGGGGAATTGTGAAAGGCTTCATGCAAGTGGATGTACAACAAAGATTTGAAGGTCAAGAACCAATAGCAATGGGGAGGAAGAGAGTTGGTATCAGTGCAAGTTCGGCGGGGACCCATGACCCTGGGCCATAAATGAGACAGAGAAGGGCTCATGAGCCCAGGCCACCTCAGGGTAGAGTGAAAGTTGGGGCTGCACGGGTAGGGTGCAAGCAGATCAATGAAGGCTTTGAATGCCAACTTAAGGAATTTAAACTTTTGTAGGCAATAAAAAAACTTGATGTATCTATGGTTGTAGCCATCTCTTGTCCACTCAATATATATTTGTTGGTCATCCGCTATGTTCAAGCTCCCTGAAAGTCTCAGGGTATACTGTGGTAAAAAAATAAATAAATAACAAAACAAAACAGAAAAACAACCAAGACAATGGTTCTTAAGTCTAGAAGTGGAGACAGATAACAAAGCAATAAAAACCCACATGAATATATAATTGTGATTATACTAGCGTAGGACGGAAAATGCACAAGATCCGTGGGAGAGGGTGATGGGGGTGCTGCTTCAGATAGGGGATGTGGGCAGGCCTCCCTGAGGAGAGTGGGCCGGGGCAGGCAGCACCTATGAAAAGGGAAGGGTGGGGGGAAGGGTCCTTGGGTGGGAGAGAGGGTCAGAAAGAGGGCTGGTGTGGAGGGACAGGCAAGAGGGAGATGACATGGAGCCTTATTCTGGGTCACCTGAAGGAGTCTGGATTTTCTAAGTGAATGGGAAGCTGCTGAAGAATTTTAAGCAGGAAAATGGGACGGTCTGATTTATAATTTTAAAAGGTCACTGCTGTGCTAAAAATAAGGAAGCAAGAGTAGAAGCAGACAG